AGGAAAAAAGACGAAAGGAAAAGGAGGAGGAGAAGAGAAGGGAGCGTGAGGAGGAGAGAAAAAAAAAGGAGCAGGAGGAGGAAGAGAGGAGAAGGGAAAAGGAAAAGGCGGAGGCCAAGAGAAAAGAAAAGGAACGGGAGGAGGTAAAAAGAAAAGAAGAGGAAGAAAAGAGAAAGGAGAAGGAACGTGAGGAAGAGAAGAGAAGAGAAAAAGAACGAGAACGAGAAAAAGCAGAAGCTGAGGAGAAGCGCAAGCACAAGGAACGTGAGGAGAAAAGGAAACGACAAGAGCGAGAAGAGGATCGACGGAAAGAAAAAGAACGAGATGAACGTAGACGTGAGAAGGACCGCTCCGAAGCAAGGAGAAAAGAGAGGCATCGTGAGGATGAGAAGAAGCGGGATAGAGAGCGTGATGAAAGGAAGAGAGAAAGCCGCTTGGGCTTCTTGTTACTAGTAGCGATGCCCTTTGTTACTAGTAGCTTCAAGCTACTTGTAGTAATGCCCTTGTCACTAGTAGCGATGCCCTTGTTACTAGTAGAGAGAAAGATGCTTGGGCTTTATTGATCTTTGTCTCGGAATGTCTCGGACAAAGTTCACTCGAGCCCACTACTTCTGAAGCGGTCCTTGAATACATACGGGAACTGTAGATGAGGGAGTGCCCCATGTCGAACAGTCGCAAGGGTTGCTATGAGGCCATGAGGCAATAAGGCCTTCAGATTCTCAGTGTGCTAAACTCACCCAAAACCTAGCCCCGGGCTACATCCCGAGCCCCTCAGAATCACATCAGTACTAAACACATCGCCCAGCGCCTGCACTGAGGAGACAAAGACGACCGGCGTGCTCGGCGCTCGGACACGAAGGACCGGCACAAGAGCCGCGACCGGAAGGACCGGCGTTCACGCCCCTCGGCGTGCGAAGGGGCTTGGGGGCATAGGCCACCTGAGTGGGTAGCAAAACGAGTTATATATTGTATATATATATATCTCACGAAAGCCAGCCGCTAAGCTGGGCTTGAGGTTGCTGGAGTGAACGAAGTGAGTAAAGGGGGTGTGGGGGGGGTGGTTGCGTGGTGGCTACATTTCGGAGAGGTGAACCCAGAGCCTGGTGGGGGAGAGCAACAAAAAGAGGCGGGCCACTTGGGTAGTGAACAATGAATGGTTTGAGGGGTGTTGTGATGCCGGTGATGTAATTGACGGCAAAGAGTGCATCATCAGCATCACGAGGGGCTCAGGAGGCCATGTGAGAGAACAGATTGTAGTTGCGGCTAAGCTTAGCCTTGCTGTCGGATTGAAGAGGGTACTCCCTATGCGGTGGGAGTTCACGTGAAATAGGGTTCCGCCATGTTCCGCCTCCAACGCTTGCTCGCTGCCATCTCTTCTCCGGCCTTCAACAACCCGCCATTCTTGGTCGCTGGAGGCAGACGATTTGGAGTTGTTGGGTTGCGTGGTGGAGGGCAGGAGAGAGAAGAGATTGCACCGGGTAAGCCTTGGAGGCAGAAAGTTTTTGAATTGCTTAGGGGTGCTCTTTTTTCTCCGTGGAAGGTCTAGTTATTGGACTCAAAAGGGCACCGCATATGGGGTGCATGCTGCCATGTGTTGAGGGCCTGCGAGAGAACCGCACTAAAGAGGGCACCCCCTATGCGGTGGGAGTTCACGTAGATTGGGGGTTGTTGGGGGCAGGAGAGAGAAGAGATTGCAGCGGGCAAGCGTTGGAGACAGAAGGTCCTGAATAGCTTAGGGGAGACAGAAGGTCCTGAATAGCTCAGGGGTGCCCATAGCATATCTCCTCGCCTACCCTATCCTTTGCCTCGCACATGAACCCCCATCGCCATCTCTATTCACTGATTCGCAACACGCCGCCGACAAGCGCGTTCCTGAGGGGTGCCCTTTTTCACCTCCAAATCCTCCCTGAACCGGGGCGAAAAAGGGCACCCTCCCCCCCAGACCTATGTTTTCTACTTTCCATTTCTACCCCCTATCAGTGTGGCTGCGATGTCAACTTCGCCCCATGAAATTAATCTTTGCCCGATGTTACCCCATCACTTCCTCTTGCATGCCAAGTCTTTGCCCGGGCCTACCCTGAGGAGCACCCCCTAAGCCAGAGGAGGGCTTTCGTCCCTCCCTTCTCTGGTATACAAGTAGCAAAATGATGTAGCATGTGTAGAATTATCAATGTTGTTTTTCGATTCTTTCCAGGTTTGGCCACCTGATGCCACCTGTTCTGAATCCCTATAGTAAATTTATTGTAGTATTGCAACTCCAGCAGTTGACAACAATCAGATGCATTTGCTTTGTGTCTTGCTCGTGGCGTTGCTTTTGAGCACCAATCCCCAATGATTGAACCAGCCTACAACCGGAAAAAATCCAAATCATTTCGGATGACTGTGTGACTGGAAAAGTCATTGGGCTGGGTCGACTGTATATCACTGAGGGTACCACTGGCCGGGTCTTCCAGCAAACCGGCCGGGTCAGATGCCCAAAGACACATAGACCTTTCCAGACGGAAGATGCCGCACGAACATTTTAAGGTCCCCCCGCAAAAACGCCCCCGCAAAAATGGCCTTGGAAGCCTCGAGAAAAAGAACACGACACGGACGGCCGAGGCCACCGATCGCGGGAGCGATCCCGGAAGCGCTCGAGCCCCTCGCGGCGCCGCTCCCGGAAGCGCTCGAGCGGCCAAGACCGGCGGGTCGAGCGACGCTCCCGGGAGCCCTGGCGGAACCCGCGGCTGGGTTTGGTGATGTTTGGTGTTTGAGTTGCTTTGTGCAGTCATTTGACCACTTGGGTTTGGTGTCTCATAAGGAATCTGGACTTTTGGAAGAGTCAGAGAGAAGCACGGCGGTGGCACAGTTCATGTGCAAGTTCTGCACCACCTCAAGCTGTGTTCACAGCCCACATTGATCACACTGGCCCGACACCAACCCGCTCGGGCGTTGCCTTCGGACCCAACGGTCCCAAGCGCTTGGACGAGCCCTGACCCCTTTGGGTTCCTTCTCAACTGACTTCGTGCATTTGCATCTGCAGTGGGTCCTCATACAAAGTTTTTATATTAGGTAGGAATTTTATACTTTAGCAGGTGAGAGCACACCACATTTCTTGACAAAGTTCCTTCCTGAGGACCGGTCCAGAGATGCGCGACAAGACCGGGCCGCCGAGCGAAAAGCCAAGGAACATGCCGGAAATCAGGGGTTTGTGGAGCATTCCTGGACAGGTTTCGGTCCATGCTTTTGGTGTTGTGTGTGTGTGGGGGCGCCCCAAAAGATGATGATTCAGCCTTTCAGCCTGTGGGAGCCTTCATGCTGTGTTGAACATTGTTTAACCATGTTTAACCGCTTCTTGCCGTTGATGTATTTAATTGCCGGACGTATCTAATTGCCTGCAGGAGAATGGCCAAGCACGGCGTGCCCAGAACTCAGGAATTTTGCGGAGAGCATCCTCAGATGATTCAGGGCGTCTATGCAAACATCTGGGTTTGGAACCTCAAACGGTCACCTTTTTTTGAGTGCCAATTAGTGTTCCGTTGTTTCTTTGGCTCAAGTGACACAAAAGTGATTGAGGAATGAGGAATGCCTTCATTATGTGGACACCGTACTGGAAATGGGGGGTGATGCCCAAACACTTACGAACAACGTGCCATGTAGAAACACGATGCAAATGACTAGAAACACAACACCGTTGTTGACCACCTGAAACAACAATCAAAAACACCACGCAAACGATCAACAACAACAAAACACTCACGCTTTGAGTGCCACACGTTGGTGTGAATTCACTTGAAATCTCTTTTTGGCGCCCTGTCACGGGGGAATCGAAGATGAGGATGGATACAAACATCTAAAACGACGTGACTCTGGTGCCTGTGCTCTAAGCACCAGCTGTGCTCTGAGCAGCTCTGGAAATCCCGCCACACGTCACCGCCGCCTGAAACGCGCGCGCCTCACATCGGCTGAGGAGAGGACGGTGACGCCAGAGCCACCGAGACAAGATCCGCCACCCTTGCCGGTGGACGCGGAGGGTTGGGGGAGCCAAAATCGGTTCAGTGTTGGCCGGGACAGGGAAGACATGGCTGTGATTGAGTCATTCTGGAGTTGGAACTTTCGATTATTTCAGCATTCTCGAGGGGTGATTTGCTTTTCACCAGTGGCCAGCCGTGACCTGCAAGAGGCCGCCTGCTTTTGATGTGGTAGCCATACTGTAGGGATACGGTTACTATATCGGTTACTGTTTGCTCGGGGGTGGGTTTTGGGTAACCTTGCCACCATTCAGACTCTGATTCCGCGGTGGCCTTTGGTGAAACATTTGGTCGAAGAGTTTTCGAGCCCACTGCGAGGCTGTGGGTTCTGCTGGGGCCACCTAGGGCTATTGCATGCTATTGAGCTGCTATGGCACTCACACGTGTTTTTGAACCCAAACTGCCAGAAACAACCTCATATGACATACATGTCCAACCGTTTTTACATGTTTCTACTGAAGGTAGATGTGCCAGTGACGGACCGACATGGAGAAAAACACGGCATTTGCTTGGGTTTCTTCCTCCAACTGCAAGGTGTTTCTCTCCACTCTCAGCCGCGTGCTCAAGAGCCCGGGAAAAGACACATGTTTTCACTGCAAGGGCAGCACACCGCTCAAGTCAAATGGATGTTCAATGTTTCAAGATATATGATATATAGTTATTTTTTGGCAAAATAACTATAGTTATGAAGTCATTATTCATTATAATTCTAAGAAGTGGAGGGAGGTTGTGCTTACAGAAGCCCGGCCTATAAAGAGCGAAAGCACCTTGACCCATGGACGCCAAATCCTCATATCACCTGAGATGAACAGCCCGACAACCAGATGGACATGCTGCCAAGATGGGAACCAAGCCAGACAAGCCAAGGGTAAAGCGAAGAGACGATCAGCCATTGCATTCCCAGAAAAAAAGACAAGCGTTTCCTTTTCGCCCGTGCCATGCGAAAAGAACAAATACGCTGAATAAATATGAACTAGACAACTATGCACGCTTCAGAGCCCCTTTCGCATGCGACCCATGTTCCTCGCGGGTGACCTGCCATGGAGAGTCCGGGAGCTGGCAACCCGGTTTGGGCACCAGGTCGGTGGCCCAGCTCCGAGTAACTTCAGATGGCTTCAATAGCTGTTGGACCAAGCAGGGGTCCAAACGTCTAGTGGATTCCACCCAAGGCATTGGGTCCAGGCATCATTCGGAGGCACTCTAGACTGCAAAGCGACATCAAGCTTGACAAAAATCATTTGAACACATGATTCATGATATACTTGGCCAAGCAAAACGAAGCACAAATCCCTAGCAGGTGCCATTCTTTCTGCAAGGTCAACAGGTTCTATCCCCTACTCACTTGTCCACATTGTACTGCGTTAAAATTACCTTCTCCTCGCTGGATGCCAACCACCACAGGTCTTGGGAACTTTATCAGTGCTGGTCACTGGCACTGGCAGCTAGCAGAGCTGGCACAGGCGTTTCGGGGCAGAGCGGAGTTTCTACTGGTCGCGATGACGGTCGGGGGAGCTGAGTTGCACAGTGATTCTGAACAAGAACAACGAACATGACACTCCAAGGGGCACACGACATGGATGTGGATGGCATGGTGGCATGCGTTGCTCCTCTACAAGCATGTGAAGACGGTTTTTGACATGCCACATGTGTTTGACATTGTTTGGATTTGTTTGGCATTCTCTCAGAAAATCATGAGAATGACGGAAGGCAATGAAAGATATGAAGGGGAACAATTAAGTGTTTCCAGCAAGAGTGGAAGATTGTGAAACCATGGAGGTGGTTGAACACGGGTCAACAAATGGCGGAAGGCCATTCTCCACTTGAAAGGGACTTTGGAGCCTCAAGTCTGAAACATCCGTGGAACATGATATGATCGTTTCTTTAAAAGAAACGCTTTTCAACATTGGTCCATTGGCGCAAAAAAGCGAGTCAAGCCGTGTCAAAGCCTCATCCTTAAGCAGATCGCAGCCACCCGTGAGGCTCTGGAGCTTCGCCGCGGTGATCACGTTGCTGCCGCGCCCGTTGCTGCTGCGGGTGCCGTTGACGCCGTGCGTCCGGCGGCGCAGGCGCTGTCGTCCGCGGCCGGCGGTGACGGCGGCGCTTGGGCGAAAACGATCTGCTGGGAGCCGAGCGTCGGGCAACTGCGGCAGTTGAGGCAGGAGTTTGGATGAGATGGCATCTCGGGAAGGTTAGGTTTGTTTTTGGAAGGCGGTTTTTTTTGGGGGGGGATCGTTTTTGGAACGCGTGTTCGTTTATGCCTATTATACTTTGTCTTGTTCTTTTGATGTGTGGTTTCTGCGTTCATTTTTTTCTGTGTTGGTCATGGTCCTTTATTGTTTTTTGTTCATGTTGTTTCTCACGACTTGTAGTTTGCGTGTTTTTTCTCTGATGTGTGGTTTCTATGTGTTCTTTTTCCTGGTGTTGGTCATGGCTGTTTGTTCTCAGCTATTTTCTTTGGCTATTCTAGTTTTTGGTTTTCCTGCTTCTTTTGGTGTGCAGCTTCTTTTGTTTTTTCTAGTCCTGAGGTTGTTTTTTTTCTCTTTCGTGGTAATCTGCGTGGTGGTTTTGCATGTTTGTTTATCCTAGTTCTTCTGCTGGGGGGTGTCGATGTTTTTTTGTTGGTGTTGGTCGTGTTCTTTTTGTTTTTATCGCGTGGCAGTCTACCTGGTGTCTTTTTTTTGGGGGGGGGTTTCTGCTTCTTCTGCTGTGCAGCGTTTTCTTTTTCTAGTCTGGGTTGCATTTTGTGTTAACATATGTAAACTTGTTTTGCTTTTTCTCTGATTCTTCTGATGTGCGGTTCCTATATAGTATTATATAGCTCTTTTGGTCTTGGTCGTGCTGTTTGGCTGTTTTTTAGGTTTTTCTTGATCTTTCTTGTGGTAGTCTGAGTTGTGGTTTTTCACTTTTCTCGCCTCTGGTTCTTCTGATGTGCCATTTCTGTAGTTTCGAAAGTCTCACTGTTTGTTATTTGTTTGGTCTCTGTCGGATTTTTTGTTTGTTTTTTCTTTCGTGTCCATCCAGGACGAATCTAAGGCTAAAATCTAGACGAGGAAGGTGCCTTTTCAATGGAGCATACCTTTTGTGACTCCCACCCGTGCGGGGACCTTAGAGGAGGAAGGAGCTATTCCAACGTAGACCTATTGATCTCCCCAAGAGTAAAATTTAGAGGAGGAAGGAACCATTCCCGTGTGGTGTAGCATGCCTTTGCGACCACCCAAGCGAATTGGACAATTTAGAGAAGGACGGCGCCATTCCCAATGAAGCATGCCCGGCGTGTTAGTCTTTTGGTGTGTGGATGTGTGTGTGTGGCTTGTCATATTTTAACATAGAGTGCATGTGGGTGGTGTTCCGCGAAATTGAATGTCTGGGGCGTGAACGCCCTGAGAAAGCATTGCAAACCTAAAGCCCGAGGGTAACATTTGGAGAAGGAAGGAGCTTCTGAATTCGTGGCAAAGAGTTGGACAGTTAGACCTTCGGCATGCGTGCCTGTGTTCCAAAATGATCCTTAACGGACTGAGCTGGATGTGTTTCAGAGATCCTCCTCCCTGGCGAGGGCTGGAAGTAACTATATTGAAGTTTTGACCTGTACGGAGCACAGGAAAAACAAATGGGTTGGGAAACTGGTGGTCTGATAAACCTCTTGGAATGGCAATCGCTGCTGTGACCCTAGTCAGTCGGTCGAAAAGCATACCCGAACGATAGGGGCTTGGAGAAATAACACTAAACTAAACCGTGGATGAGGGGGATTTGGGGAATTTCTTCAACGTCAGTCAAGTTCCGATTGTTTTTTGTTTATCCCTTAGGTTTCTGGTTGTTATGTTTGGGACACTGCGAGCGTTTCCATTCAACAATGCAAAAGCTTCCCTAGATTCATCTCTCCGCACGTTCAACAGGCAACGCATGGCCAATGGTGGCCGCGTGGTGGCTGCCGCCCGCCCTTGGCGGGCGGTTGATTGGCCAGCCGCTTCTCGCCCAGTGAGATGGTCACCTCAATCTGAAGAGAGGCTTTGCAAGAACTTTCTGGATGCCTCTGGGCAGAATGTGTTGGATCACTTCGCCACATCCTAGTGCATCTTACATATATATATATATTAACAATTCATAACAATTCATTACAGAGATGTAATGTGCTCATGTTTTTGTTGCCGTAGTACTGGTCGCCGTAGACTATGAAGATCACTGTTGGTTTTTTGGATGGCCAATGGGTGCAGAACAGGAACTTGGTTGGGGTTTTGGAAGCAGATTGGCTTTGGACTTTGGCTTATTTGCCCCCAATACACCGAGCACACGTGATCCATCATGAGGGCAATGTAAATGTCATGAATCGATAGGTCCAAGCCAAGCCTAGGTTTTCAGCTTTTGTATCGGCTGGACGCTTAGAGAGCCCACATGAGCCCACGCTGGTCTAGGAAGGTCCACATCGAGTTGTTGAAAGCTTGGACCGGTGCAAGTGGGGAGACTCGGTCGAATTCCCCATGTCACCCCCCCTGGTCTCGGCACATGAGGCAGGCTTTGAGCTGCTCCAGGTGCGAGTGTGCTGTTATCCTTGCGAAATCACGTGGACCGCTTGGCTCAACGTGCTGGAGCGCTCCGGGTCAGGTAGAACCTGCGAGTCTGACTCAACGACCCCTTATATGCTCCTCCAGAGCGAGCCGCCATGACTGACTGGTCTTCTTTGGTTATAGTTGCACCGTTGGACCCTAGGAACCTCGCCATTTGGCAGGCGGGAGTAGAGACCCCTTCTTGAGATTCTGGCATGACCAGCAGAGTGAATCGGGGAGCGGCCTTGCGAGTAGGCCTCGCATGAGGTCTATAGATGTCATCTCGCCCATGTTCTACTTCCATGTGTCAAATACAACCATCCAATTGAATCATATTCACATTCATGGATTCTAATGGATGTTTGTGTTGCATATATAAACTAAGAGGCTATTTATAGACACCTCTTGGAAGGTCCATACATTTAGAGCTTTTTGCTGGGTCCGTGATCCGCACCTTCGCCGCAGGAGAAGCTCTTCCCCGAGCACGGACGCCAGCGGAGCACGATGGCAGATCCCGAGGGCGACCGGCCGAACTCCTGTCGCATCGACTTCGGTTGGATGACTACATTCAAAAGAAAGGGGGGCATCCAGAAAAGATGTGTGGTCAATTCTGTTCATGTTGGTGCTGCGTTTGCACTGACTTCTTGAAGATCACTTGTTCCCGAACCCTGATGAAGCAAAACCTTGCGGCGGTTGCGATGCACCCAGCTGCAACTCATGTTGAGATTGTTACTGTAATGAATCATGAAGTTTCTCCAGCACCATTTCAAGGGCTTGCAGTTCAAGGCTGATGGATACCACACGGTTCGTGGATGAAGCTTGAACAAGGGCCCAAGTGCAACCCAGCCTCTCTTACACAACAGGCGAAACCAAGACTTGTTGTTTGGTAATGTTTGGTAATGTCTGGTAGTGACTAGAGAGGCGCTGCAGAAGAGGTTGGCAAATTGGAAATAGTTTCGGGTCAAGAGTTGGAAGGTTGTGGCTTTTCTCGGGAAAAATAACGATGCTTTGCCTGGGCCGGGCCTCTTTTTCGGCCTAAAAGTCGGCGTGTTGAAACCGACCGACTCCGACGAGGATTCGCCGTGTCTTCCGAGCCTGATGTTCTTCAGGCGAACGCCGGGACAGTCGCTCCTTCAGGCGAACGCTATCTCCACTTTGATGATCGCCTCCTTCTGGTCACGGCTCAGCTTCCGAACCCCGCGCCACTCGCCACGCTGGCGACCCTTCGCTGCTGTGCCAAACGCCGGAGGCTGTGCCAAACGAGTTCCGGCCCCACTTTGGGAGCTGGCAAGGAGTTCCGGCTGCCATTGGGGTCACCCGAAGAAGTGCTGATCAACTTTTTGACCATGTTTATGCTTTGGCCGGCGAACTACAGTGGAAAATGACCAACCTTTGCTATCTATCTATCCTCCCTGAGGCGACCCCTACTCAAACAGCAACACACAACACAAGATTGAGATGTGGTGCAAATGGACAGAGTGGCTACAGAAAATGAACTTGATAACTGCGAGTTGGGGGTTATACCTTCTTCACTGAAAACATCTGAAAACCACCGCCAGAACGAGGGATCTGTCAGGGATGTTTGGTGTTCCAGGTGTTGGGAAACGTCTACGGCTTCTCGCCACCGAGGTGGCACCTGGCGTTGGAAGGTTTCTGGGCGCCACTGCTGGTGCTCCAGCCATGGGAAGCTCAAGAGGTACTGGAGCAGCTGGATGCTCACGCACAGCAGGTCATCGGAAGCGGAGCAAAGGTGGAAGATCTGCAGGGAGAGCAGCGCTTCAAAGTGTGCCTTGGACATGTGTCGTCCATGTCGAATTCGCGGTTTTTGACGGACATGTGTCGGCTGTTGTGGGACCTTTGGGCTGGATGTCCTTTGGCATGGGAACAGGTTTTGCAAAAGAGGGCGAGATTGGATGAGCATTTGGGTCGGAAGATCCTCCCCACCTGCGCTCAACTGTTCTTCCGCTCAGAACTTGGTGAACCGAACCAGGCATTTGCTCCTCAGGCATTTGCTGTATCCCTGGGCCGCTCGCTTGGTGCGGCACCCGGTTTTAGTGTCGGCGGTGCAAAAGGCCTTGGGCACGCAGGACGTGTTACTTTGGTTCTCGGAGGCGGGGCTTCTGGGGAGGATGGGATGGATGGCAGGATGGCGGGTTTTTCTTGCTTCTTTGTGGGTGTGTTTTTGCATGGGCCAATCGTGCTTTAACAGGCAGGCGGCGGTCACAAATTTGCTAAGAGGTCTTGGTCGCATCTGCATGTTTTTCGTCGTTGGTCTATAGCATGTGAAATGGCATCCTGTTGATCCCAATGTTGTCTTTCATCTTATTGATTTTATCCAATTTGCGTGATGACCCCAAACCCACAGGTAGTTGAATGCCGCGACGCCAGGTGAATGCTAAAGCGCCGATGTCCAAATGCCATGCGGCTCCACATCAGGAGAGGCATTGGATTTCAGTGGAAAAAGAATACCACCCCTAGTGTTTGAGTTCACACCTCCGGGACAGGAAATAACATAAAACCATCCAGCCGAAGCACACCATGCCTCACACCATTACCAAGAACCGAACAGAACAAGCGCCCACACCGGTGTGCGCCAGGGGAGTCCCATCCCAGGCACTCACATCCTTTTCCATTCAATCATATCCAAATATACATCCAAAAAGTCGGTGGCTGATTTTAATGACATAATTACATATAATTACTATAATCTATTAATCACCCAATCATATCCAATCAATCTCAGTATGCAGATGACCTCACCTTCGTCCAACCTTGCCGTCCACGCTCCGGTGAGGATGGGATTTTCGCATCGCTGTGGCCCAACGATGCGGTGTGCAGCGTCTTCGTGGCGCTGACGGACGCCACAGCGGAGATGGGAGGCTTATTCTTCCAGCGCGGGTCGCATCTGAGGCGGGGCACGAGGCATCTGACAGAGAAGGGGCAGAAGGAGAGTATTGTACAACATGGCTACTGTACATACTAATGCCAATGATTGCCATAGATGGTAGGATGTGATAATGTGTCTTTTGATCCTGCCTGTGGGCCTTTGAGGAAGTGTCATGTTTTTGATGGAATGCTTGTTTGCTGTCTTTTGTAACTATTGGGCGGTGTCAGTGTTGGTTTCTTTGCCTGCAGCCAATGAAGTCAAATTGAAGCTTGAGGCATGTGCTATATTAATTATATGACCGCAAGAGCATTGAAGGGGAGGGTTGGTCAAATGGCTTCCAACACGCTGAGGGGAGGGTTCAGTACTTCGAGATGACCATGATAACATATGCAGTGGGAGAGTGAATCCACCTTTCGAGCCTCACGCATTCTGATCGCCAGGGGCCAACTGCCTCACATCGTGGATGGGGAGGCTCAGAACTTGATCGGCTTCAAGTGTGAAGAGGCGCGGACTTACTGGGCTCGCTGTCCAAAAACTACTTGAAGACCATAGATCCACCCAAAAACACGCGAAAGGTTCACCGCCGGGGGGAAAACGAACCGCAGAGATCCGCAGAGCAGCTCGGCTCCGACCGGCTACGACCGGCGTCAGCCGGCCGCACGACCGGCTGGGCCCGGTCAGGCGAACCAGGTCTTCGATTCAGACGAAGCCGTGCCAGTGGAACTGAAGGCTGGAGAGGTGACTCGGAGGGATCGGAGGTGCTCCAGCTGGGCCACGGGTGTGGCTTGAAAACGCACTCCGAAGCATTTCTTCAGTTCATGAAGCCAATTTCCTGAATGAATGTCTTGAGAATGTATTTCGTGAGTTCTCCCAATAGAGCTCTTAGACGGTCAACTTCATGGACATTCATCTCGAGGATTGATCGATTTTTGTAATAGGACAAGTTCATAGCCGAACTGCATGAAAAGAAAGCGTACGGATCCCGCAGTACTTCACCAAAAAGCTGAGTGTAATGTAGACTCTTTGAGAAGTAAATAGCCGCTCGTTTGGATTGTAAACCTCTTCAGGCGTGGGGTGCTTTATATATGCCAAGAATCGACTACGAATCACTTCTCCTGCTACTAACTAATTACCGGTGGGTGTTTGGTAGCTAACGACGCTAAAGCCCCACAACTGACTCCCAGAACCTCACTGGTTGGAGCACAAACAACAGTTGTTGTTTCTTTCTTTCTTGCTTTCAAACCATAGATTCAACATCAATTATCTATAGGCACTTGGAGATGATTTCGGATAACCTGGATGCAGGGACGAGGTCACTTTCCAACATTATGGAACCTAGGCAGTTCTAGACGCAGGGTCCTTGAGCATGCTGATTGTATGTGTGTGTTGTTCCTTGTTAGGAGTGAACATGAATTCAACTCCGTCCATTTCAACACCTTCCTCAACCGCCTCAACCCCATTCACTTCGCAGTGCCTTCCAAGGCCAGTCTTCACACCTTCCGCACCCTCCACTGGTCTGGTCCCAACTTAACCTCCACCCGGCGCGTGGGCCTCGCGCTGCGCTACGTCCGCGCGGACGTGGCGCGCTCGCGGCCGCTGCGTCGCCGCGAGAGCGCCACGGTGGCGGCCGGGCGCTACGACGCCCGGCGTGGGGCCTTCGACGTGGAGATGGAGCCGCGAAGAGCGCTGGGAGAGGAGGAGCTAACGTGAGTTGACATTTGAGAAGTAGGTGAGGTTTGATATGTGTGATTTTTCTTTCTGGAGCCGACCACTGTGTTTGGAGATGATACGTTATGGCTTCTGGATAGTTCCTATCCAGCACATCCTCCCTGAAATCAAGCAGAATTTCGATTCATTTGTGCAATTTTGTTTTACCAATTCTGGCATTCTGGCAATCATGGAATTCTTGGGGAAGTGCTATCACTCCGTAAAAACTAGGGAGAGAGATTTGGCAGGTTCCGGCCAAGCACCAATCCTGCAGGAGGTGAAGTGCCATCAGGAGGCCTTGGCAAGGGAGAGGGAGAACTACTGTGCAGATGAGGTGTGAAAATTCAGCGCGGAGGAAGGGGATGGTAGGATGGAAGGGGAAGGGGAATTTACAGATTCACCTTGGACAGGTTTTGACTGGGGTCACGCCGCTTGCAACCCAGTTCTAGGGCTTTGGGACGAGTTCCCTAGCATGGACTTTAAGGAGAGCTGGGGGGATTGCTGGCTTTGGATGCAAACACCTGTAGGAGAAGTAGGAGTTCTAGTTCTATAGGAGAATTATCTCGCCATAGCAAGCGATAGCTTTAAATTAGAGACATGACATGCCCATTTAGGTCTAGGCATGATCAACCACGGTCAGTCGTAAGCTGCGGTTGTTTTGTGAACAGCCTCAGATGGGGCGTTGATGACCTTGGGGCCCTTTGCTGGCCTTTGTTTGCTGAGGCCAGTTTCCTCCTCCTTTGCCTACCTCCAGCCACTTGGACTTGAATTTGGGTCAACCAAACTGACGCAAATGGCGTGGATCGTAGGAATGGGCAGCAGGACAAAAACCGGAAAACCCTTTTGGTTGGTGGCCAGCAAGTTGTTGACAGACGTTGACAGAAACTATCCAAAGAAATAGGTTTTGAGACAGTTGCGAAGAGAAGACCTTTCAAGCTAGAAACCTGGTTCCCTTTGTTTAGTGGTGCCCATCCTCCAACCAGCAGCGGGATGTGTGCTCTTCAACCTCCCAAAAAGAGAATAACTTGGTAGGTTTGTTCCACTTGCATGTTTGTCGTCCAGGAAGACCAATGATGGTATGGCAGCCTCGGAGTGGAGTTGACAATGATGGGCTCCAGTGCAGTTGACAGTCGAGTAAATACCACGCACGGATTCTCTTTAGCCCATCAACCGTCGAGTCCTTCGTCAACATATGCCCAAATGATCACCAACCGAACAGGACTTGATATGAGTATGACCCCTTTAGGTGACACACACACAGAGAGGGATCCAATTTGAGAGTTGCAAGAGCTCTGGACCTTGGTTCAACCCCTTCGGACCCTCGGCACCACGGCCTAGGCACCACGGAGGCGAGGCTGACTCGTTTGGCGAGACTCTCGTGCCAGTTTGGCAGGTTTTGGTGGGTATGCTTGCACCGTATATCGCCCTCAGTTTGAGTTTCTACCGTCCTAAGGATTTTGGCAGAAGGATTGGGTGCCATTGAAGTGTCAGGGTAATTTCTTTTCTTGGAACTTTTTTTGGGCACTTTGATCATTTCACCCTGTGTTCTTTGCGAGTGGCGGGAATGGAATACTTGGGGCCAAGTGGGCTCGGCCGCCTCACTTACAAACAGCTTTTGCTACGTACTGCTTTTTCACCAACAGATGATTCTTGGCCTAATTATTGATTTTCACTGAGGGTCGAATTGGCATCGGCTGTCTCATTCGCAGACTGATTGATGCGGCGCATAAACTGGCGCAGTGAGACACCCCTAAGCAGCAGTTGATACCGTAGGAAAGTAAATAAAGGATCAAACAATGGAAACAAAGGATCAAACAAGTGTCACGGAAAACCTGTCGTGGTCACATCTTCGACGTTTGGGGGTTCTTGGCTTTTTTTCAGTGATGTTTTGCCTACCCGTCATTGACATTCATTGACTCTGACCACGCAAACACCTGCAAAGTTGAGGGTCCTACCTACCTGGATGGTCCAATCCACCATCCACACGCCGAAGACCCAACGCTTTGCTCAGCCACGGCAATCCGCCACGTTCTTCACATCTTTCCCCCGCGGGTGTGCACAGGTGTGGTCGAACCAGTCTACATTCACAACTCCTCGTTGAATCAGGTTGTGGGGACGGCATGACCCCGAAAGCATGACCATTTGCAAAAAATATGCCATGATATGTCACGTTTTGTCGAACACGTCGAAAGCATGGTTTTCCATGCCGGTTTTGCCAACCCACCAGTGGTTTTCCACTTCAATTCTGGGAGGGACAGGCCACTCGTCCGTTTGCAAGGCCACTGATCTTGGCAGGTGCGCAGCGATAGCCGCCCCTTTGGGTGACCGGAAGAGTAGCGTCCTTGCTCCTAGGTGTCACTAAGGTAGCTATGATGTGTCACTGTATGGTGCACTCCGACTGCGATACACACATCACATGGAAGTGGTTTCTCCTTCCCCAGTCGCTCATGTCATCACAGCCTCATGAGTCTTATTCACATTCACAAATATACTTATAATTAAGGTATATATATTACATATATGCGTGTGTTTGGTTACATCGAACATGGAAACTCCTTCGTCGCACGTGGTTGATTTTGTTTTGGTGGCAGCTGGCTGACCTTTTTGTTCCTTAAGATCTGCCACAACAGACAGTCACATAGATACTCTTTCACTATTGGTCAATCAATAGAGGGGATATCCCTTAAAATGTGCCAACATGTATGTGGTGCCAAAGTACCAACCGTGGACATCATTGGACCACAATAGGGCCCTCATAAGTGCTGAACAAGGCCGACAGGTGCCCGCCGACAGGGAGAACTACATGTTTCCTTGAAGTCTTTCGGCAAACAAGATCTGGGCGAACTACTATGATCCTGTAAGATCCTGGACAAGATCCTGGAAGTTTAAGTCACATACTATGAAGGCCTCCCCAGGCCGGTGGGAACTTCCGCAGGCCGGATGGCTCAGCCTTGACCTTCGCCAAGCCGGTGCAAAGCGTGCGCGCGGCCCCCGGTCGGGAGCCACGGAGCGACACTCCCTGTGACCAGTGGAGCAGCAGGTTTTGAGGTTCGCTACTAGGAACAAGTGCATCGCTTCTAGTAACAAGTGCCTTACTAGTAGTACGTAACACGAAGCTAGTAGAAACAGTATATAAATTAGAATTAGAATCAAATTAAAATTACTAGTGGTATTTATGTACATCTCTCTATATATACTAGGACCTTCCAAGAGGTGTCTATAAATAACCTCTTAGAGGTGATTCGGGGTGTCCAAAATCCACCTGTTGAAAGGTCCTGGTATGTATTAATTTGTTTCTCTTAAGTCACTGTGGGATTTTAGGGCACCTCGCGAAACGAAAGTCTTGGGGAATCCTTTCGTAGTCTTGGGGAATACCCATAGGTTCTGAAGATTCAGCAAGTGCCTGACTTGTCTGCATTTTATTACATACAATTTTGCCTGAACCTGTGATGCAGCGCAGAGCCTGCCACTTCCCTATGGGCAGCCAATTGTAACCCGAACGCGGCAGAACATCCCACACCGCGTGCTGGCAGCTGAACATCCCCCCCAATCCCAAGTAGTTCGGAACATCCTTTGCTGTGATCGCTTTGCCGGTTTCCTTGGCCAAACGACGAACGATATACAATTTGGCTTCTTCTTGTTCAAGAGGGCTGTCTAGAATCCAGGGCCTTTTGAATCAACACCTCTTTCAAACTGCTTTGCACTTCTGACCCGGGATGGAGGGACATCTCTATTGAACTGTGTGGTTGGAGGAACGAAGAACGCTGGATTTCACTCGGCTCGGAGCTTCCACCGATGCCCAGCCCGCCGAGGCCCCTCCGCGCCCGCCCAGCCCGCGCGGGCGCCCGACCTGAGCTCCAGTTCGCTCTCCAGCGAGGCGCCGGGAGAGGCGATGGGGGATCCAATGGGATGGATCTTCTTAAAGGATTGGAGGACAACCAAAGCTGCAGGATTCTTTTTCTGGGTGACTTTTTGGGGTCGAGGTATGTTGAGGTATTGTCATTCTTTTGGACGGTCGATTCGGTGGTGCCTCCTCTAGTTATTTGTTTTGGAGATTCAGAACTAGGCTGGTGTTGCAGCACATCATGACTGACGCATCCGCTGGGTTTGTGCTATGAAGAATTCACTGACCAAAGATGCGCTGACAGAAAAATTGAAAGGATAATTTTTTGATTCGGTTACTGTGCCTTTCGTCTGGGTGGCCAGATCTGGAGAAAAGGAGCAAGACAAACTCGCAGCACGATCACTTGGCGGGGACCACTTCAAGGGCAAAACAACTGTGTAGGGAGGCCCCGGAGAGTTTCCGGGGGCGTTCTAAGAATCGACTGCATAGAATCGCTAGCACACTGCTGGATTTAGCAGAGGAATTGCCTGCTTGAAGGACTGCTTTTAGGGAGATGGGTGTTTGGGATGTAGACACCTACACAGCCCCTCAAACCTTCTATATTTAATTACATATGGTGTGCGTATATACATAGAGAGAGAGAGAGAGCATGTCAAGCATTCTCAACCCATGGATCTAGAAGCAGCAAATTCAGAGCCATAAGCGACACTGGACACCTTCAACCACGTCTCTCCACAACGAAGGTCACTCCAATCAAGTTCTGGAGACTTTTGACATGGTCCATAAGAACCTTAGTCGAGCTAAAAAGTTCGACCCTTAAACTACCATCGGTGGGGAGAAACTGCTTTAGCGCCACTTTGGGCAGTTCTTCCACCGGACCATTGAAAAGCCAAGCTGACTGGACAGGACAGCTCTGATGCTAAGCCCAGGACTGGGCTGTCATGAGCTTGAGAGCCCACACTGATGGATGCCTTTCCAAGGCAAAATCTCTTGGCAGTGCGAAATGGGAACATTGTGCGGCACGAGCTAAGACCTCCACAAAGGCCTGCTCCAAAAAAAGGTATCACCCACGATCCACTTCCATGATGACTGGGATACAGAGTATGCATCCTAATCTCTGCATGGAATCTAACATTCAAGAGATCCAGGCTGGCACCAAAAAACAGTAATCAGGGTGTCAATTAGTCTACCCTTGCTTTGTCTTTTGGAAATGCCTGGTAACTGAACCACTGCGCAAATCATTGGTCATGTCAGTCTTCCACTGGTTTATGGCGGGCAATTGGAGAGTCTTCCAACCGGAGGGACCTTTTGGTTCCCCTGCCCATGTCGGTTTCATTGGCAAACAATTCGATTTTCTTTTTTGAAGCCTAGACATAGAGAGAGAGAGAGAGAAAGAGCGACTTTTAGACATCAATAGCACAACTCCTCAAAGTTGACAGAAATGGTGTTAAAATTGTAAGGGCTTCGCCCTGTTCAATCCCTTTTAGAGAGGATTT